CTTATAGTTTACAGAAAGTGTTATATAATACATATATATATATATATATATATATATATATATATATAAAAGAAATTCTAATTGTAATTCAATAATATCCGAACGCATGAAATGAAATATCTGCGGAAAACATTTTTGTTTTTGTGTAAATAAGTATGTTTGATTGAGAGAAGGAATATAAAGGAAAAAAGAAAGGTCTGAATGTGTCTGAGATTTTGTATTTGTGTAACCAGTATGCATGCCGAAAGACACTAGCCGATAATCGACCACGCATACGTGGCAGATTTGCTCGCAACGACGAGACCAGCGAGACTCCCAAGGCTTCATGTTCCACCCGGGATGAAGATGACGTCGATTTCTGGGTACGTATATATAGCAGTAATTTTGTTGCTTGCTCAAAAATTTAACAAAAATTAATTAAAATAGGATTAATAACCTTAAAATGATTTGTGAAAGTTAAAATTAAGTTACGCATCTTAAAAGTTAAGAAGCGCTTTCTCTATTATGTAACTAATAATTGGTGTGGTTTACGGTGTAGATTGAAGAATTGCGATTGCATGAAGAGCAAGACGATGTAACAGTGGGGGCAGAACAATATTTGAGAAGTTTTGGAGCTAGTCAATTTCAGTACGGTGGCTTTTGAGTTTTAGAAGCATAATTTTATGGAAGAGCCTTTAGGAAAGTTTAGGCTCGATCAAGGGAGAAAAGAATTTGCAAGCCATAAGAAAGATTAATTGCAGATTTTTTTTCTTTCTTTTTTATTGAATTAAATAAAAAAATGTCAATAAGGTACGGGGAATCTGAGATGTTGCGGAGGACCAACATGAAATTGGGTTGTTGGACAAGGGTGCCCCGGTTAGTCTAGTTGTAGTTGCACACTTGCACCCCTATATATTTTTTTATTTCAAGCTATGATTTACCAATTGATTAGTGTATGTGTGTATATATAAAAAATCATATTCCATAATCATGACATGTTTTTTAAACAAAGGAGTAATTATGCTTTTATACATTCAACATTCTTTGAAGTTAGGAATATAATTAATCATTTGACTAAACCAATTCTGTTCTTAATTTAGTATTTGGCAATCAAAATTAATCAATACTGCCAAGTTATTAATATGAGGAGTATAATTTTTTTTAAGTAATGTTTCAAGTTCAAATCTTATGAATGAGAAGAAAAAAAAAGTAATTAGAAAAAGAAATTATATATTAAAAGTGATCAATCAGATTTTTTTTATTATAAAAATTAGTTATCATTTGATTGAACTAATTTTGTTCTTAATTTTGTATTTGTTAATCAAAATTAATTAATACTAACAAATTTTTAATTTGAGTAGTTTTGAAATTTTTTAAGTAGTATTTTAAGTTAGAATCTCATGGATGAAAAATAAAGTTAGAAAAAGAGACCACACGTTAAAGGTGACCAAATTAGATTTTTTGATAAAGATTAATTATTGTCAATGTTAATATATACTTTGTACTAATCACATAATTATGAAAAAATAAAAATTAATTAACTAGTTTGTGAATAACTATTTTTACCTAAATGTAGTGGCTCCAACAATCTATGTGTATGAGATAGGATGCATTGACATCGCGTGTAAGTCTAAAGACTTAACAAATAAAATAGTTAATATAGATTAATCTAATAGTTTATATTATCTTAATATAAATTTTATAATAATTAGTTATTTAACTATAATCTATCAATTAATTTATTTGAATTGATTTGATTTGACTTATTGTTCAATTGATTTAATTTTACATTAATTAATTGCAAAAAATATTTATTAATAATTTCTTACGATTTTTCATAATAAATGGTAAAAATATATATAATTATAATCAGTGAAGGATTTAAAAAATTTAGATAATGGAAACAATAATTATTTATATATTTATAGTATTAAAAATTTTACATATAACTTTTAAAAGTATAAATATATATCATAATTATTTTTTGTAAGTTTTTATATCTATGATTACGATTAAAGATGAAAATAAGTTAGGTCAAATTATGTTATATTATAATTTAGTAGGTTTGAATATAATTTTTTTTAAAAATATATGTCCTAAATATGACTTATTTATCTATCGTAGATATTTTTTAAATATTTGATTAGAGTTACAATCCTAACAATATACTTTATAATAATTTAATACTAATAAAAACATAAAAATAAATATGTTAAATTTTATAAAAATAAAGTTTAATTTATTTATAATATAAACATGTTTTTAATATCTAATATAATATCTTAGATGATAATTTATTTCAAAACATATTTTATAATAAAAATTTTAAATAGTTTTTTAATTTTGATTTTTTTAATCAACGTATACAATCCTACAATCTTTACTATTTTTATTTTTTTTAATCAATGTATAGATAAATAGAAAAGTACAAAAGGTAAACATATATGTTACAAATTTTATTTTATCAAAAATTTAAATTTGTTTAAAAAAATAATTCATTATTAAGGAGTATTCTTTATCACATATGATAATCAATTTCCTTCGAAAGTTTGATAAATATCAAATAAATGAACAATTATTTTAAATTTATATTTTATACATATGATAATTTAAATATATATGTTTATTTTATTAGAATATAACTTTTATTTTTAAAAATATATTATTTTTTAGAAATATACATATATATATATATATATGTGTGTGTGTGTGTGTGTGTGTGTGTAAATGGTAGTGGGGGCATGTGCCCCCACTCTCCTCTACATGGATCCATCCTTGATTATAATAATTTTGATTATTTTATAGTAAAAATTAATAAATTTTGTAACACTATACCTTTTATTAATAATCGTATGTGTGATGCTTGTGGTGTGGTTGGGTGGCTTTGAGGAGTTAAGAAATTCTCAGGGAATTGTTGAGGTGTTTAGAGGATTTCTTTGAGTAGAGGTCCAATTTGACCATAGAAAAAAAAGTATTTAAGGTTTCTTTTGATATTCAAGACTTATAATTTCTTTCTCATAGAACCTTAGAAAGAATTTAAAGAGAGAAGCTATGAAGCTAATCCTTCTTCTTTTTCTTCCATCCAGAATCCCCAAGACAGTAGAAGATCCTTGTTGATCAGTGGTGTGGCAATCTGAAGTTGTTGGAACTAAGAATTTGCTTTGGTGTGGAGTTTCTCGGAGCTTAGAAAGCTTTTTCTTCTTCTTCTTCTTGGTGCATTACATGCTTGGTTTGTTAAGTTTCTAGTACCTTGGGGACAATTTCATGGGTCTGTTATGTGTAGAACTCATCGTTGCGTTGAGTGTGGTTTAATCAAAGGCGCTCTGTCTAGCTCATGTTTGGCGCAAGATCGGTGATCTCGTGTCAGGAGTGAGGAAGGAGAATTGTCTTGGATTGAACTAGCGTCAAACGTGGTTTGAATAACTGTATGTGAGGTGAGAGAATCGTCTCGAGTTTGCATGAGGTTGGGCATGGGATTTTTCCAGGCTAGGCGTGAGGTCTCAGGGACTCCCTACCTCAACCACATTAGATGCAGGTTGTGTGGCGCTGAGCGTATATTATTTTGAAAATACTTGTTATTTGATGAGTTGAATCGTGAACATGAATAGAATTGTTTAAGTTATTGCGTGTTGTATGTTGAATGATGATGATAGTTGTATGTATATTGATTTAGGGTAATATATGTAGATGTTGTATGATTGAAATTGAGAAGCATTAGTATGCTATACTTGATGATTTTGTTGGAGCTCTATATTTGACTTGGGTAATGCATATAGATGATGTAATTTGATTTGTTGATGCTGAGAATATTATAGGCATTAAAACATGTTGATTGGCTTAAGATTAGAGGAGAGAATGTTGATATGAAAGTTGAATATCCCATGTAGGGAATATTGTTTTGGCACTCTAGGAGGCGAGTTGTTGAAAATCCTCCTTAAATAGGTATGAAACTCTTGGAGTGGATTTGTTAAGTCTACCTAAACTTATTTCATTCAATAACTCATGTTCTACATCAAATTTCAATTATCCAACCGTTAAATTTAAAGTTCTCAATGCATAGATCAAATCTACAAATTTTAGAAAATTTAAAAATCATTTGATACTTCATTTCATTAATTCAAATTGACGGATAATTATAAAATTATTTTATACATTAATTTTAATTAATGAAATGAAGTATTAAATGATTTTCAAATTTTTTAAAAATTTGCAGATTTAATTTATGGAATAAAAACTTTAAATTCAATAGAAGGATCGTTAAAATTTAATGTAGAACATGAGTTATTGAACGAAGTAAGTCTAGAGTAAACAAATCTCTCCTTTTATATATATATATATTATTAGTATTTGAAACATATATATATATATATATATATATATATATAATTTGTAAGTGTTCAAGACCTATTCATAGAATAAATAAATATTTCTAATAATTTGAAATATATGTGAGAATTTTCATTTTTAATGTTGTTTTTATACTAAATATTTTCATTTTTTTAAAATACAGCAATATGCTACCAAGTCTCCTTTAGGAATTGATTATATTTGATACATATTTGTATATATAACTAAGAAATCTACAAGGGATTGAACTAGCGGTGGAGAGTTTGAGTTCTAATCCAATTGTCACGTTTGAATGTATAGAAATCAACATCAAATATTGGACAGTGTAGTAATTGGCTGAGAAGACAAAGCATCCAAGTCTATAATTTGACTGCTAAAACACACATGAAGCTACAAAGCACCGGTAAAAGCTAGGTCCCTTGGTCTTGGCTGGCTAAAGAAATAAAAAAGAAGCATCAATATGAAAAGGAAAGTTATTATTCTTTTCTGATTAATTATCGTGAGGTGATAAATATAATATAGTAGTGTTTCATTAGTTCAATTTTACAAATTTTGTTAAGTGGACTTCGATCTTCCAATCAAAACATTAGTCAAACAAATTCCAAGGATAAAAGGTTTTTGTTATTTATAGTTTATGTTTTCGCACTATAGTGCTGTCAAATCTTGCTCAAAATGATGATTTAGCACACAACAAACTCAAGTGTAGAGTGGAGGACAAATGTCCTTTAGGTTCTGATGATCAAGTTTAAATGCAATCCCTCTTTAACAAAAGCGCGATTCTGATATTAATATTTCCTCCATGCATAGGAAAGTCAGAATAAAAATAATTAACCCTAGCTAGATGGAGTGGGCTACTTATGATTAATTTAAATTTTCAAACACAACATTTCTATACTCTTACGATTAATAATCTAATAATACCGCTGAGAGTGTTTTTATTTTGACATGTAAAATGTTTTTTTAAACATAATTTTAAGAAAACAAAAAAGGTCTGTTTCTTTGATTTTAATATTATTTTTAAAATATACATATATAAAAATAAGAAATAGTAATACTCACACTATCATCCTTTTCTTAATACTTTTTGTACTATTGATTAAAAATCTCAAAATTTGATAGATATTACTAGAAAATCAAAAGACTCCTTAAATTAGATGCAAGACTCATGAAATTTGTGATTTCTAATAAGATTCAATCAATAATACAGTGAATGTTAATATAAATGAATGTTAGAGAAAATGTTGTTAGCACTTGTCATCTACGGATTATATTAATGACTAATCTTTATTCAAAATTCTCAGTGAACATATTTAATAAAATATTCTCTTCTTATCATATTTTTATCTATAAAACTTAAATTTGATACTTTAATTAAAAAATTCAAGTCTATTTTCACCTATATCAATGACTTATTAGTTGAAGATAATTATACATGATATCATCACATACATCATCACTTTTTCATGTTTAAATAATAAAAGTTAATAATAAATGAAATGATAATATAATACATAAAGCAATTGACATAATTGTTTTAGTTTATTAATTAATTTTGAGTTTGAACCTTAAATAGAGTTTGAACTAGTATTAATTATTC